CCATTCCTATGTCTCCCAGAAGAGGGGGGGGTGAGGTTATTCTCCTCAGGATTTCCCCTCTTTAAATAGAGGACTCTGAAGCGATATTATTCCTTGGTCGCCCTACCCTTATGGAGGAGGCATTTGGACCTTAGCACAAAGAGATGGTGTGTGTTTTTGGTGTTGTCGTTGTTCCTGACTTATGGCGACCCTGTCATGGGGTTTTCTTGCTGGGTTTCTTCAGAGGGGGTTTGCCATTGGCCGTCCTCTGAGGCTGAGAGAGTGTGACTTGTCCAAGGTCACCACCCAGTGGGTGGCTGAGGCAGGATTCGAACCCTGGTCTCTAGAGTCTTAGTCCAGTGCTCAAACCGCTACACCACAGAGGCTCTCCTCAAGAAGATTACAGTTGTCCCTCCACCTTTGCATCTTTGACTTTTGTGGTTTTGATTAAAATGTTCTCTCTAGGAATCTGTAAGTCCTTTTGCACAATTTTGCCAGAAGTTGACCATAGAGTTGTGCTGGAAAAATCTAGAAATTATTGGAGGAAACACTTCTCTAGGCATTTGTCGGTCCTCCAGCATTATTCTGTGATCAATTTCTGACAGATGTTGACCGCAGAGTTGCACTGGAGGACCTGGAGATTCCTGAAGAGGTGTTCTCTTAGGTAAAAAGAATATCACAGGGATCCTTCACCCCCATCCCCAGCAAATGTGAAGGGACCACTGTAGTCCCATCCTATACCTGCTTAAGAGAGCCAGCGTGGCATCGTGGTTTGAGCATTGGACTATGACCCTGGAGACCAGGGTTCAAATCCTGGCTTGGCCATGAAATCCATTGGGCAAGTCACATTCTCTCAGCCTGAGAGTAGGGCAATGGCAAACCCCCTCTGATGAAACTTGCCAAGAAAACCCTGTGGTCTTAGGGTCGCCATATGTTGGAAATGACTAGAAGGCACACAGTAATATTTGCGTACTTTAGAATTCAAAGATATAGCTGTGTTAGTCTGTAGAATCAAATGCATCTGAGGAAGTAGACTGAAATCTACAAAAGCTCATGCTGCCAACTTCTTTCTTTCAGTTAGTCTCAAAGGTGCTACAAGATCTCTCTACATATTGCTTACTTTAGTGTAGTTTCTCACAATTAAATGGGCTTGGGAGTTTTAATCGATGGCACCAAGCGGAGAACATTTAACGCTTCATTCTGTCATTTCTCTTTATTCTGTCATGTTAAAACATAACTCAGGGCAGCTTGACGAAGTTTGGACGTCAGGTCTGTTTACGAGGTTGCATATCAGGTCGGTTTATTTGGAGCTATTAAAGTATGGGACACTGGCTATTGTTGAGTTAATTACTACCAAAAAAAAAAAAAAAAAGCCAGGGGACCGGAGCCTTCTGTGCTTTGCTGTAGTGAGTGCAGGAGAAGGGAATCCAGGGGTGAGAAGAAATGCCTGCAAAGTGCTTCAGAGAAGTCACCTCAGGAATTTAGGGAGAAGGAGGATGAGAGTATTGTCTCTCCCTCCCGAAAAATTCTGCTTTTCAAATGAATTTTTCCTTCAGCCCCCAAATTAGGCCAGCGTGGCACAGTGGTTTGAGCACTGGACTCAACCTGTGGAGAGCAGGGTTTGAATCTCTGCCTGGCCATGAAACCCACTGGGTGACCTTGGACAAGTCACACTCTCTTAGCCTCAGAGGATGGCAGTGGCAAACCCTGCTGAACAAATCTTGCCAAGAAAACCCCATGACAGGGTCACCTTTGGTTGCCGTAAGTCAGAAATGACTTGAAGACACACAACGACAACCCCAAATTAGTAGCAGAATTCAAAGATATACCAGTAGCTGTGCTAGTCTGTAGAATTAGTATCTAGAGAGATCTTGTAGCACCTTTGAAACGAACTGAAAGAATTGGCAACATGAGCTTTTGTAGACTTCAGTGAGACAATGAAAATCATTCATACCTAGAACTCTTATATTATTATTATTGTTACTATTATTATTATTTTATTTACGTAGTTGTATCCTGCCTTCCTTCTGGTATAGGGACTCAAGGTGCCTTGTGGTGCTCACTAATTTTGCCTGCCCTTTTTCTTAGGATGCCCAAACCTTGTTTCTAAATGCTCAACTGAAGTTTTAAATTACCCCAATCTAGCAATTTGGGGACTGAACAAAATTTGAATTGATGGGCAAAATTCTGATTTGGGGGCAGTGTCCTCATTTTGCCCCATCCCCTGTAGCTACAACACACAAACACAAACATTATTATTTCCACCTCTAGGATACAGAAGGATCTATTTCATGTGTGTATTTAAGCCAACTTGACTGAAGTGACTGATAATACTGAGTGCACACACAATATAATCCTTTGGGTGTGCTCACTGGTGTCTTGTACAAAACTCAATGGGACTTAAACATTTCCAAAGATGGGCTCCTAGGGACCGTAGGATGTTTCTCCATCTCCTTCTTTGTGGCTGGCAAGAGAGGTTCAACCATGGAATGAGAGAACCAGTCTTGCAAATCTCCTCCCAGCCACCCCATGGCTCTTTGTTTCTCTATTATTGGAGCTCTGCTCTCAGGAAAGATTTTTAAAAAAAGGGAGAGTGTTCTCTGGGTGTGCCAGGGATGGCTCAGGGAAAGTTGTGGAGCTACAGGAAACTGAGAATATCTCCTTCCCATTGCAATCAGTGAGAAAGAAATAGTAAAGAAATCAGGAACAACTTCAAGAAAAGAGAACTGTTTCTCCTGTCTTTCTGCCTTGGTATCATGAGCTGGGTAGGGCTTTGGATAAAGCAGATCCTCTAGCTTTCAACCTCTTGCGTTCTTAGGCCTGCTTTGTCTCAGGGAATCCCCTCCATCTAATGGGATTTCCCTCTAACCAAACCTGCTTAGGATTGCTCTGTAAGAGAGCTAGTTTAATAGGTAGTGATCCAGGCTGCCACATTGCTGAGGAATCATTGAGACGGGGGGGGGG